GCTACCGGCGACGCCAATGTCGTAATGGTCGACGAATTACCTGACAAATCCCTCCAGATTACCCTATTTAGCTTCTCCCTCCACAGTGACGTTACATCGTTTTTCAAAGTGTAGGAGGTGAGTAAAAGGGGGGGGGGGGGCAGATAAAAAAAAAAACAACTTTCCTACCTGACAAATCCCAAAACGTAAACCTGTTTAATAAATACGAAATTCGTGGGAAGGGGCAATTTTTTTTTCATCTTTCAATACTAATTCTTTTTCATTCATTACATTTTCCCCTAATTGACTTTACTGCAACAAAAAGTTGGGTTGGGGCACCAATTATGTGTGGTGGAAGTTAGGGGGTGTCCCCCTCGTGGCTTCTCAAACTCACCGTGTCTCTTAATTCTTTTTTTTTCATTTTCTCTTCTATTCTTCCTTTACCAGTTTACCCACCCCCTTACTAGGAATATATAGGAAAAATCCCTTCCGTCTCTTTCCCCTTTCTTTACCCCTCTCTCTTACCCTCCCCCTTTCCCCTCTCCCCCCTTTTCCCCTCCCTTAATAACTCGCCCCTTTATTCCTCCTCTTTCTCGAACGAATGAAAATGGTAGTAGGATTATTGTTTTTTTTTTTTAGTTAATGCTTTTCCTTTCAATAATGAAATTGTTTTCTTAACGTGACCCAAACCTGCTGACTATTGTCATAATTAGCACCTTTTATCTCATACAACGCCCTCTGTTAATTGTCATCTTGTATGGCCGCTTCGCTTGTTTCATGTATACACGTGTTTTCAGGCACACGTAAAACACATGTAGCGATAAATATTTATTATTTGAACATATCCATTGCTTAATTTATTACAAAAGGATCAGAAACAAGCTCTTAAAACTTAAAAAGTTCTTCTGGTGCTACTAAAGGAACCTCTTGTGCTAAGCAATAAATTTTATCATTAAAAAGAAAAGCACGATCCTTCATTGACTAAAAAAAGCAATGATCTTACAACTCATCTTTTATTCATTCGTCGAATTTATTTATTTTGATTGTTGTATTAAAATGTAAGAGAGAGGAAGGGGAAGGCGAAGTGAGTTACCGTAGGATTGCTCCTACAGCTAATACATAAATATACAGTTAGTTAAATTGTCATAATAATAACATAATAGAGACACTCATATTAGCAAATGCCGCAAGTGCATTTAACTGGTGAGAGATGAGTAATGAAATAAAAGAACGAATATTTTCATTCCCTGATCTTTTAATCAATACTCAGCCGTACGTGTGGGGCAGTGGTTACAGCGTCTGCTCTACAATGGCGAGGTAAGGAGTCGATCCTTACGTCACCGGTTCGAATCCTACTGTGGCAGGGGCGTAGCAACAGCGGGGGGGGGGGCAGGGGGGCTGGGAGTTTTTTCCCAACCTTACTTATACTATAGAGAATCTGTCGTTACTGCACCTCAAGTCCAACTGAGGATGAATTGCATTTTTTGCTAGAATGTCCACTTTATAATGACTTTTTTAGATAAAATCTTTAAAACCTTTCCTAATTTGATACTGCTTAAATGTTACCTGTTTAAAGCCTGAGTTTGTTGTTTTATTATGCCAACTTTTAAATGCAAATTTTAATAAGTGAATGTATTGCAAAAATAGGCCACTATAATGTATTCTATACATCCTAAAAGAAGATAACTAACTCTCTGAAACAATGTTTGTTTTGTTCTGTTTTAATTTGTATATGTATAACTGTGATGATTTTGGACACTGTTCTGTATGCTCCACTGTGGGCCCAAATTGGTTGAATAAATATTCTAATTCTATTCTAAATTCTATAGGAAATGTTAATTGAAAGCCTGGTTGCCCCCCCCCCCCCCTTTGTGATGTACCAAAAATGTAGTATTAGAATTAGTACTGAAAGTAGTTGACACTGAGAAAAAGTTAACCTACACCCCCCCCCCTCACGAAATAGGATTTTCGACTTTGGGCAACATTTTCCTTTCTTTTTTTTTTCTTTTGCTTGTAAACTTCTTCAGGTAAAAAAAAATTTCTCTGGCTGGCGCCCCCCCCCACTTTTAAAAACGATGCTACGGGCCTGTGCGGGACATGGAGACCAGTACTTCGGATGAGACCGTATATATACAAAAGACACCTGCAAAGTTACTTTTTTTTCTCTCTTTTTTCTGATTTTTACATACATATTTGTGTAAAATTATGTAATAACACCTTGTAACACCTTTTAACCAATGTATATATATAAAGTAATGTTATATATGGCAATATATGTAATGTATAAGCCAATACAATACAGATAAACCGTTTTTCCTCAAGACAGTAGCATTAACCCAATCTTAGGGTCCCGTGTCGCAGTAGCTACTGGAAAGAAAAAGATCCCTCCCTGCTCAACCACCGTTAGTGCTGTAAGTGCTGAGCATAGCTAGAACAAAACTTTAAGCTCTCCACCGGCATGTGAAGGCTGAATCGACAATGACTTTTAATTCCTTTAGAATGCTTTTTTACTCGAAATAAAGTATTGAAAAATCCAAACATATTTATATATAGATCTAATCAAAATTGTAATTAAGAAAAAAAAATTACCTGTTTAAAATATATTCTAAACAAAAGATTTAAAGCTAAGTAATGCTAGTAGAATTTATCAAATAAATTGGTGTTTTTATCTTACCTAGGAAACAATGAGATGTACGTTAATGAGGAAAAACATTGTTTAAACAAAATAGAAAGAAGCACTCTTTTGTCATCGGAGATTGTTAAGGTGTTAAGAGGCCGAATTTCCGTGTAAATAAAAAGCGTCATCCTATTATTTTTCAATACGATTTTGTTATTTCGTTGATAATTGTTGTTCAAAATTGAAAGACACAAGAAAAATATCTAGACTTCCTTGTGCATCAATCAGTAATTGCCTTTGAAATGCTTGTAACGAGAAAGGCATATAAATGATCTTGCAAGATTGTTAAAAGGATGATGTAAATCAAACGCTAAACAATGGTCTGATTGTAAATGAAATTTCAAAAAAAACACTTCTTCCTTTTTTATGAATAACTGCAATCAATGACCTCAAATACAGAAATAAAACAAAACCATAGCTTTAGTCAGGCTTAAAGATAAAGCACTTTTTCCAGAATTATTATTCTAAAATACTAAATAGCACGATATGCATTTCATTAAAGGGAAATTTCATTTAAAGCAATATGAGCTGCAACTTTGATGATGGAATTTTTTGTTCCAAAATTATAAATAATTATTTGAATGGCAGAAAAAAGAATGTTTATAAACTTCTGATGTTCATATCTGTGGTATTTATAACCTTTGATTTAATCAAAATTGCATTATTGTCGTCCTGTACAATAATGATTTCTTATATAATACTGTATATTCTATTGTAAAGAAGTCTTTCTTCAGAAACAATTTAACGCTTTATTTTAGTTTAATTGATCAAAAAGGTTCAAATTACCTACACATTTATCATAATAATACATTTTAAAAGCAAAATAAAATTTTCAAAAATGCAGCTCATATTGCTTTTAGATAATTATTCTAGAGTAGCGTGATATACATGTCAATGATTCTATATTGTTCAACAAGCATTGCTTCTCGATAATTTTTAACTCATACGGAGATTACCGGTGGAGAGCTCCAAATTTTGTCTTATACTCAGCACTCAGAGACATTGCGAGTCTCTACATCAGACTCTCTAACCACTGCACCACGCGGACGACACTATAGCAGACGCTCTAACCACTGCACCACACGGACGACTCTATAGCAGACGCTCTAACCACTGCACCACGCGGACGACTCTATAGCAGACGCTCTAACCACTGCACCACGCGGACGACTCTATAGCAGACGCTCTAACCACTGCACCACGCGGACGACACTACAGCAGACGCTTTAACCACTGCACCACGCGGACGTTTAACCACTGACATCTACAGCAGACATTCTAACCACTGCACCACGCGGACACAGCTCTAACCACTGCAGCAGACGCTCTAACCACTGCACCACGCGGACGACATTACAGCAGACACTTTAACCACTGCACCACGCGGGTGACATCACAGCAGACACTTTAACCACTGCACCACGCGGGCGACTTTAACCACTGCACCACGCGGGTGACATCACAGCAGACGCTCTAACCACTGCACCACGCGGACGACTCTATAGCAGACGCTCTAACCACTGCACAACACGGACGACTCTTTAGCAGACGCTCTAACCACTGCACCATGCGGACGACTCTTTATCAGACGCTCTAACCACTGCACAACACGGACGACTCTTTAGCAGACGCTCTAACCACTGCACCATGCGGACGACTCTACAGCAGACACTCTAACCACTGCACCACACGGACGACTCTATAGCAGACGCTCTAACCACTGCACCACGAGGGCGTCTCTACAGCGGACCTTCTAACCACTGCACAACACGGACGACTCTCTTTAGCAGACGCTCTAACCACTGCACCATGCGGACGACTCTACAGCAGACGCTCTAACCACTGCACCACACGGGTGACATTACAGCAGACACTCTAACCACTGCACCACGAGGGCGTCTCTACAGCAGACGCTCTAACCACTGCACCACACGGGTGACATTACAGCAGACACTCTAACCACTGCACCACACGGGTGACATTACAGCAGACACTCTAACCACTGCACCACGAGGGCGTCTCTACAGCAGACACTCTAACCACTGCACCACGCGGGTGACATTACAGCAAACGCTCTAACCACTGCACCACACGGACGACTCTATAGCAGACGCTCTAACCACTGCACCACACGGACGACTCTACAGCAGAGGCTCTAACCACTGCTCTACACGGGAGACTCATTAAACAAAAGACTAGAATAGAATAAACATTAACCCTCCCTATATGACATATTATCAGGATGGTTACACAAAAATAACTCTGTTTTAATTTTTCTTCTTCCAAAGACAGTGAAAGAAATGATCTCCCCGGCATTTAATTATTTATTTACTTTTGTAGAAATACCCAATGCATTTATTTCAACGTAATGTCAAGAGGCCTTCCGATTGTAGCAGTATCCCTATTGAGCTGGATTGTTACAGGTAAATGACATAACGGTTCACCTTCCGAATGGTTAAAATGTAAAAGACGGAAAAGGGGAGCGGTCATTAACTCTTGAATTTGTAGTCTATGAAGATCTTAGAAATTAAAGGTACTTTCTCTTTTTTCTGAAGCAAATATGAAAACATATGATTGCTCCTGCCGGAAAAAGGAAGAAAAATCGTCGTTGAATATGCATCTCCAGAAAACCAAGCATAAATTATTTAATTTAACATGCCATTTGATTGGATAAAAGATCTTTTTGCATCCTATAGGTTGCCTATCTCACGATATGTTAGGTCGAAAACATATTGCTCCCCTTGATGTTACTTTTAAAGTTCAATTTGAAGTCATTGTTTTGGGAGGAAAAATGTTTTATTGTCTACACTGAAATAAAAAATAAAAGGATTGAAGCTTTTTTAAACCTATGTTATACGTATAACGTTAAACTGCCCCAATTTATGTTACAACATTGGTGTCGGAAGGAAATTGAAAGTGTGTTTGTGGGGGGGGGGGGGGGCTATTCGAAAGTGGGGGTATACCAACAAAAAAGGAATATCCCAATTTTCAATGCCTATATAATGTCTATTTTCAGTATTTTTGCAAAAAGAAAGTGGGAGGGGTAGGGCTACACCCCCCTGTCTGACGCCTATGTATAGTGTATACCATACATGTAGATTAAAATAAGCTATATTCCTTAAATATTTACATTTGCAAATGTTTTCCTTTATATAACACTTCTGAAAGCAAGCGTTTTTATAACTGTATAAATACAGGTACGGGGTCAAGAGGTCATAGATGTTCGTATGGATAAACGTTCGACGTAATTTCTCTGTGACGTCATAAAGGGTCGACGCGCGGTCAGTGGATTACATACATGCCGTTGGGTTTGAAAAACAATGCATTTCACACGTTAAAAGTCACAATCAGGCAAGTTTAAAGTATGAATAAATCACAAATGTAAATATAAGTAATAAGGTATCATTTTTTGAGTGTTATTGGGATGTAAAACGGGTTGGCACATGATCAAATCTTCCATAAAGCCCTTCGGGCTTTATGGGATTTGATCACGTGACAAACCCGTTTTACATCCCAATAACATTCAAAAAATGATACCTTATTTCTTAAATGTTATCATTGACATTTCAGATCTGAATTGTTGTACAAGAAAATTTATATAATTTTAAAACGTAAAAATTGTGAGGTTTGAAACACCTTAACGAATAATGTATTATCTGTTAGAAGACATATATACCCCTCATATAATTTATATCATTTGACAGTTTTGATCGCCCTTGATTCTGAATCTTTGAAATGTTCCCCTGGGATTTTCGGATCAGAGGTTTTGAGATGCTCCCCAGGATTTGTCAATGTGAGTGGCTGGTGTTTCTCTTTCCACAAAGAACCAACGTCCATGTTGAATTCCAGTGACTTCTGTCACCAGCAGGGGGCGCACATGGTCGTCCTAGACTCGGAGGAGAAAGAAAAAGTACTCACCAAATATATTGAAAGTAAGAGAACAGGGGTGAATGTAAGTTTAAAAAAATTCCGGAAAACGAAGATTTTTATTTGTTAATTTCTGACTGCCGGAGTCGAGACGTCGTTATACAATAAAGTAAATTAATTAAAAAACTATTTATCTTACAACCTGAACCGTATAATAGTCTCTACGTTTAAAATCTAATTTATGTAAAATTCCTTTTGAATTACTTACTGCTGAGACGATAACATGCATGAAATTGCGCTGTAGATCTAAGGTTACATAACCATTATATACATATGCAAGAGGAAAATTGCTTAGAAATTACTTATAGCCAAGTTTATAATGGAAATAAAATAATTTTTTTTTCGCTTCAGAGATGAATTTTTTCAACATATATCAAGAAAGAAATGTAAGTATGAGAGAGAGAGAGAGAGAGAGAGAGAGAGAGAGAGAGAGAGAGAGAGAGAGAGAGAGAGAGAGAGAGAGAGAGAGAGAGAGAGGGCTGACCTTGAATATATTTTAAGGATAAACGTGTTTTTCTTTAAATCTTCAGAAATGCTTTTGCTCTGAATTCACCAGCTGCAGAAATGTAGCCCTCTTATTAAGAAAATTTGAAAGTACACGAAATGCTGTACACTACAAGGATCTGTGGTTCTCTGGTTTTTCTGTTCAACTTTTGCTTTATCTCTGCCACAATCCTCTAACAGGCTAAACCTGCATCATTCTACCACATTAACAGAAATTTATTATATTAACAGGAACTTTATCATACTTTTTCATAAACAGGAACTCTATTACAATAAATGGAACTCTATTACAATAACAGGAACTATAGTACAATAACAGGAACTCTATCATATTAAAAGGAACTCTATTACAATAACAGGAACACTATTACAATAACAGGAATTCTATTACACGAACAGAAACTCTATTATAATAACAGGACCTCTATTACATCAACGGGAACTCTATTACAATAAAAGGAATTCCATTACACGAACTCTATTACATGAACAGGAAGTCTATTACAATAACAGGAACTATATCACAATTACAGGGACTCTATCACATTAACAGGAACTAAATTACATTAACAGGAACTCTATCACATTAACAGGAACTCTATTACAATAAAAGGAACTCTATTACACGAACAGGAACTCTATTACAATAAAAAGGAACTCTGTTACACGATCAGGAAGTCTATTACATTAACAGGATTTCTATTACATTAAAAAGAACTCATTTACAACTACAGGAACTCTATTGCAATAACAGGGACTCTATTTGATTAACAGAAACTGTAATAATAATACTTTATAACAGGAACTCTATTACATTAAAAGAGACTCTATTACAATAACAAAAACTCCATTACATTAAAAGGAACTCTATTATAATATATGGAACTTTATTACATCAACAGAAACTTTATTACAAAAAAGGAACTCTATTACACGAACAGGAACTCTATTACATTAGCTGGAACTCTATTATAATAAAAGCAACTCTATTATAATAACAGGAACTCTATCACATTAAAAGGGACTCTATTACAGTATCAGGAATTCTATTACATTCATTGGAACTCCATTACATTAATTGGGACTCTATTTCCTTGACAGGAACTCTATAAGATTGCTCAGAGGGAATGGGACATTGAGGCTGAGAAGAAAAACTGTAAGTATTAAGGTAAACTTACCATCTGACAAGAGAAATAACTCTTACTATAATGAGTGTTTGTTTGTTGCTGATTTTCTTTAAGAAAAGGATCAAATAAAATGTCCATATCTGTCAGTTTGTACGTATTTTAATCAAGAATAAGATTTTTTTTCAGAAAATTTTTTTAAAAGGAAAAGGAAATACAGATAAAAATGGATCAGACACTAGTAAAATGCCTTATTTACATGTTATGATACGTTTGATAAAAGACAGTGATAATACACACTTAAATTGTTAGAGTGCTTCTATGGATAGACACTTTGAACGTTTGTTATTTTAATAAGATGTTGTTTTTAACCATATTTTTTTCTTTATATTGTCTAAAAAACTGAAGTTTTAAATACATTCTATATCAGGGAAAAATATGCTTGCAAAGTAAGCACAATATTCTAAGTGTATTTTTTTTTCTCTCCTCAGTTTGTGCAGATTTCATTATGCATGGTGTACAAAGTTCTAAATATAAACACATTCCTAATGCTAAGGTATGTACAGCAAAATAAAGAAAAATGCATCGTTTAGAGTTTGTTTCACGATACATATTAGAATGCCAAAAATGTCGTATCTTAAATATCTATACAGGCAATACTTCAACACAAAAATACACTAAACTGGTTGGTAGACTAAAGGTCTCTGATAAGTGGCATAAGGAACTCTTTAATGTGCGGTGTTTAGAGCTTCCTTAATGCTAGACCTATACCATTAAGTTTCCCTTAAGTAGAGTTTCACTGACTTTGTTGTTGTCTAAATGTTATATTAGTAGTTAAATGAATCATGTAAGAAGTTGATTTTATACTTAAAATCATGTGTCCTTGACCTCTGTTTCGTGTCCTTGACATTATCTTGTACATGTAAGATTCCTCTAGGTTCCCTGCCTCACCAGAGAGCTAATCTGACCACGCCCGCAGGATTCGCCATCAAATCTTCGTCACTTCCGGGAGCGGGGATGGGCGCATGGGCGGAGACCTTTGTTCCGAAGTTCACGATCCTCGGTGTTTATGAAGGACTTATTCACACTGTAGACAAGAAGGAGGATTTTTATTCATGGCAGGTAAAATTATAAAATGAATCAACCAAAATGAAAAACGAAATGAAGTTGCATATTTTAGTTACATATTCCTAGACCCCTGTCATTGAAACCAGATTTGATAAAAAATTTATATGAAAAATTTAAATATTAACATGTCCGCCTGTTTATCCGTTTGACTAGCTTCTGTGTATTTTGCTAACTTTGATGAAAATAAATTTTTATTTTTGATCCACTTCAATGATTTCAATAAAATTTTCAATTTTAAGAGGAAACCAGATTACACGGTAGGGGACTAGTATTGCTAATGTAACTGTCTGTCACGCTTTATTTTTCAGATTTTTTTTCTAAACCCTAAATATTCATTACCTGTTATTTTGATCAACATATCTGATTGTCTTTAATGTATAAAATATATAACATATTTTGAATATATAAGTTTCATTTTTTGCAAACATTTCTGATAGTATTGTTTTCAAAGTGTGTGACATGAACTTGATGACATACAGACATAGATGCAGAAGATCCGGCTTTAGTAACTGGTTACGAATTATTTGAATTTTTTTCAAAATATCAACAGGAAAATGTCGTTCCTATCACGTGCGAGGGCATCATCTTCTATATGACGTCACGTGACTTAGAAATTGGGTGAAGAGCTTCTTTCTGGTATGGATATCGGATATGGGAGGTTTTTTCAGGCGTAAACCGCATACATCCGGGTAATGAAACAATACATTTTATGGTTAATTGTTTCCATCCGGGTATTTAAACAATTTATTTCAGATAATTTGACCATTTAATTTCCTTGTGGTCATTAAAACATTTTTATGCCCGCATGAACAAAGTTTCGGGGGTTTATAGTAACTGGTTACGTGTCCAATCCCGCCAGTCTATCTCTCTCGTCTCTCTCTCTCTCTGTCTGCGAGGGCATCTCTTCTATAAAACGTCAATACTGTAGCTTTTGTTTAGTGGTGAAGAGCTTCATATTCTGTGTATTTTTTGACATAGGGAGGTTTTTAGGCGTAATCACATAATTGACATTTTCTTGAATTTGTTCCAGTTTTACATAAAAATGAAACTTTTACTTTGGCCATATCATTTGAACATTGGATACTCAGGGTTGTTATAATTTACATATAAGTTCACATATATATTTTGTTAAGAGACCTTTCATTGGATACCAACAACTTTGACCCTTTGTCCTTGACCTTGGAGATTGATCTACAAATAAAAACGTTAACCTTGGCCATAACTTTTGCAGTAGGTAAGCTGCCTAGGGCTTTTATATTTCACCTAATTGATCCTTGTGTCCAGCATAGAACTTTCATTTGATATTAAAATTGGTGACCCTTTCGACCTATGAGTTTGAAAAATTCACATTTTTACACAAAAAATCTAACTTTTACTTTGGCTCTATTTTTCAATGGTAGATTCTAGGAATATCATATTTTAAATATCATAGTCTTCGTGACAAGAGCTTTCTATTGAAACCAACAATTTAAACCTTTTGATTCCTTAGAAATTACGCATTTACAAAAAAACTTTACCTGGCCATAACTATTTGAATTGTAAGATTTAGGTCTTTCAAACTTCACTTATATAGTGCATTATATATTAAAGGAGAATACCTTTCATTGGATTTCAACATTTTTAAAGGAACTTTTGGACTTTGACCTTGGTTTTTGACCTACTTTTTACAAACAAATCTTTTTCCTACCTTTAAAACAGCTACCTTGGCCGTAACCTTTAAAGTCAGGTTTTGCAAGGGTTTTTTATGTAAAATTTGTATTTTAATTTATTTTTTAATTTGCGAAATTATTTTGTTAAGACACATTCTAGTTGTACACACAAGTACTCTAAAGTTGGCATCAAAAAGATGCACATTTCTGGTTGATTATGATGTTGTTTTTGGAAACATGACCAGGTTTCCAACAATCTAGTGGAATTCACCTGGTATATAATTGCGCCCCATTATAAGCATGACCTTTTTTTTTGCATTCATATGAAGCAGAATCTGCAAAGTGCACAATCTTATCCGTGAAAAAAAAAACACTTTAATGGAAAAATCAACTCGACATTTAGATAACGGTATATCAACGATATTTTCAATTAACAATGGTAATTTCTAAATTGATACGATATATCCTGCAGGATTGAACATTTCAAAAGATATACCAAAGAATCTCAACATTATTTCATATGGTTTTCAAATAAACGTGGTGACTTTAACAAAATTGAAGATTTGCAGCCATGTTTTTGTTCATTTCATAAGTTCTATGGTTGATACATTTAACTTTTTGTTTCTATATGCTTTTTCTATAACATGACTAAGAAAGGATATTTTCCCTTTGAATGTGGACAAAAATTCAAGTTTAATTAATTTTTAGAATTTCATTTCATATTACATACGAAGAGTGAAAAACATTCTTCAAATTGTAATCCTTTTTACATTAAAGTTATGGATATAAGCAACAAAATGTATATCGGTTTTTGAAATTTGAAGATGTAATTTTTTTCTTGTCCTTTTCTGCAGAAGTTGATCTCAACGGTTCATTTGCATTTCGTGCCAATGTTTTGACATTTGACGACAATGAAAGACTCATTTTTGATAATTGGACACCAGTGACGTATCAGAACTGGAATCCTAACGATGAGGGCGAGACAGCAGTTGACCCAATCTTTGGCCTCCTTTTGACTTATCATAACGACGGCAGGTGGCGCTGGGTGACTGAGAGAAACTACACGTACTATACAGGAGAAGACGGACTAAAACTTCCCTTTATTTGTGAGGATTCTCCATTTTATTTGGAGCATGAAGAGTGTTCTGTTACATAATGATTCATTCTCTTTATATAAAAATAAACATTTGCAACCATTATCTTTTGTTATATAATTTCATTAAGTATGGTGTATAAAGTTCTAAATCATTAAATGGAGTATTCTTAAGTTAACGTTGGATCGTATATTCGTCTCCTCGGAAGTCATCTAGATTTATCCTCGGATCGTACATTCCTCTCCCCGGAAGAGATCTAAATTTATCCTCGGATTGTATATTCGTCTCCTCGGAAGAGATCTAGGTTTATCCTCATGTTTAAATAAACTATTGATAGCATGTACACAAAGACAGACGGAGCATTATATTGTGTCGTAAGGAAACTGACTGGGATCTCCTCTAACCATACAAACAAACATTTTAGCACAAAGTGTTGTTTATAAAATTTTTTTCCAAAAAATTATATTTTCCTGTAAGTGTCTGTTTGTTTGTTAATTTATCTGTGGTAAATCAATTAGCCCTGACTACAGCCTTAAATTGGTTTAAGCTATGGATTTTATACTTCACAGGTTTTTTTTTATTTTGACGGTCAATTTGGATTTGGAATTTGAGCCTTGGTCATATGGCTTTAAAATTTCACTGGTATATTCAACGTGTAAAAACTTTTCCTAGTGTAAAAGTATTTTTGACTTTGACCTTTATGTTTGACTAACTTTTAAAGAACTTGTCAAATGTTTAAGCTTAGCGTAGCTATTACACGGTTAAATCAAGTGATATCATACTCCTCACGCTTATATTTTGATAAGACTTTCTCTTGAGTACAAACAGTAATGACCTTTAACCTTGATCTTATGGATTTGACCTACTTTTCAAAAACGTAAATTTTGGACGTATTTACTGAATTATTAGTGCTAGGGGTTATCTATTTTACCGATTCATTTCTTGTGGTAAGAGCTTCTCTTGAATACCAATATTTTCTTTTTATTCTTTATCCTTTTATTTGGACATCAGACTTTGACTTCTTTTGAAAAAAAACTTTGGTAATAACTTTTGAATGGTTGATTTCGTGACTTTTATATTTCACCTGTGTATTCTTTCTGAAATTCTTTTGGGCATCATTAATATTGACTCCTTGACCTTGTCCAGTTTGACCTACTTTTGAAAATCTCTAACTTTGGTCATAATTACTGAACTGTTGCTGCTTTTATGGTTTTTATTTTAGAAGGTAGACTCATTGTGAGGAACTTTTCTTTTGGTACCAAAACTACTTTTATATTGACCTTGGTGTTTGACCTGCAAACGACAACATTTATCATAAGCCTCTTTGTTTCACAAACGTTTCTTGAATTTTTATCATTAGCTCCTAAAACTTTTCCTATTGATTTAATAACAAATTTCAAGTTGTAGTCCATCAAATTTTTGGATAAATATATAAACCATATATATACACATTGCATAATAGAGAATATACTTGTCACACATATTGAATCATTTTTTTTAAAAGATGTAGTCTCATAATTACAAAAGTTTTTGCAAACATATTGATTAATGTTAACTTGCTTTTTATTTGCAAAGGCAGTTGCAAATATAAGATAACATCTTTCAAACAATAATGAATCGTTGCTCGGTGCTCTAACTCCTTGTGTTGTTTTGCAAATTTGATTTTTTTCTAACTTACTTGAATTATCTCTAACCTAAATAATGAATTTAAATGATCTAAAATTTTGCTTTTAAGATTTGAGACGTCAAAATAAAACGCATATTACACATGTAACATTTCAATCCCCGATCTGTGTTAGAGTGTTTTGAAACAAAAAAAAAAAAAACACACAAAAAAAATATATCTTAAAATCTTTATTACAGTGAAATTTGTCTTATCCGACATGCACGGGGAACAAATTAAAAATATATGTGTTGGAAAAAACAAGGTGTAGTATTGCAGCGTGTAAAGATCATTGAGATAAGTATAAATGACAATGAAATTAAATGGCTGAAATCACAGTAAAGAGTATTGCATGTGTCGGATTAAACAGGTTCTACTGTAATAGGATTAACAATAAAGCAATCTTCATCCTAATTCTCCGTCCAGTTATCTCCATTTATCAGTGTTTGGAAAAAAGAACGAATTTGTTTCTATTTTCAAATTTATTACAACACATATAAAATACATCTTTTACTGAATACATCCAGTATCGCTTTACAGAAGCCTTTCAACCCCCCTTCTTTACTGTTTGTTACTTGATGTTAAATATTAAAAAAAGAACTCTGCGATAAAAATTAATTTAAAATCGTCTCTTGAGGGTTTCCATAATCCATGGATGATCTTTCGTCTGTTAAAAAAAATTAAATTAATACTTCACAGATAAATGTATGATTACATATTTTTTTTTATTAAAAAAACAACTTTTATAACTAAAAGTTTCAGAGTGAAACAAAAAGAAAAAAAATGGATATTAAGATGTAATGATGTTTACCTAGTTCCGTCTGATCATCATTGAAGTCGCCTTCACTGACCACTCGTTACTGTGGGACACCATGGACAGCCCCAGGACTCCGGGGACCATTGACCGTTAAGGTGGGCGTAGTGGCAGGCGTTGAACCACCAGCCTCCTCTCTTGAGAGCAGCACAGTTACCAGCACTCCATCCTGTCGTTATCCCTGTCTGGGGTACTGTAGAATTAACAAAGACAAATATACATGGACACTTGTTTAAAATAGATCAGTAGATTAATATCCACTATATAACATCCGACAGATGTTAAAATAACCTGTATTTAACATACTGTCACCTGTAAAATCAAACAAAAAGAGTCACAAAGTTAATTGATTTATATATTTATATATTTTTAATCTAATTGTCAATAATAATACTGAGGTACTTCTAAGATAGACGGCTTTAGGTGCTGGGTAGAGCAATAATATTCATATAGTTCAGTCCTTGATCATGAATTCAATGTGTCTAATCACACTGGCACCTGCAGAATTAGAGAAAATATATAACAAAAATAAGAATTAATAATTTTTATCACTTTAATTTAAATATTGAAGTACGTATGAGATACACAATTTAACGTATTGGTTCCTGTAAAGAGAGATAAAAATAATACAAGACAACAAAACACTGCACAGTTCACATAGCATTCTTTCTAGTGTAACAATAAACAACAGACGTGTTACACTTTTTAATCATGGTATTATTGGGGTGTGGGTGGGAAAGGACACTGGAAATTTTAGAAAATTTGACAAAATGAAATTTTAATATTTGTCCGAGACCGTGCCTCTAAACATATATAACATGCAATACTAAGTAAATCATTAATAACGAGATAACATATGGTGCATCAATGAATGTTTTGAAATGGTAGATTTCCTAGTTTTTAAATGGAAATGTGAAACGGGTTTATGTCTAATTTAGCTTTAAAACTTTTTTTTATGAATATTTAATCCATCAAATTCTTTTATCATCAATTTTCGTTAATCTGTCGACATTTAAGATTAATGAAGCACTGTAAACCTCCTATTCCGTAGTAGTAAAAAATATAAATCATTGAAAATCAGACTATCATGCTATGTAAACTTTTTTCCGTATTAGTTAAAATTGAATTATGAAAAATTATCAGGCAACCCAAGCTGAAAAACAATGTTGAACAAATGTAATTATTGGATTTGTTTGTTTAAAAGAATTAACATAACTTTCCTTGTACATAAAATGTATAATGAGAAATTTTATCTACTTGACAATGACAGAATCAATATCTGCAGAATATGAGAATTGTACCTGCAAATGTTATTCTGAAATATTAAACATATTTAATTAGCGTGGAATCAAAAACGTACAGAGAATATCAGAAAAAACACATCTTTCTTTTTTTTCAAGAACTTTATAATCTTTCAATACAGAAAAGAATTCTTATAATAATATACGTATTTTGAACCTAATTTTAAGAACTTTACTTAAATACACTTACCTAGAGTCCCATTGGCAGGTCCTGCAAGAAAGAGTTGATATTTTCCTGCTTCGTCGGAGACAGAGAATCCGTTGTACATTTCATACAGAGTTGTACCATTCTGGAGAGTGATGGACGCATACAGGGATGAGGTGTTTTCTTTTGTTAATTTATGGATTACGTCATTTCCTGTATAAAGATATATTTGAAATTATCCGAAAAGTTCATCGAATACAATTAATTCTTTTAAAATCTATATGAATCTTCCGTAATGAAAAATCAAATTATTTTCCATAGCTGTAGACAATATCACTAAATTTGGTCTCATTAGAATATGCCGCTTAATGATATTCTTCATTTCTATTTTTTTTATTTGAAATATCAATTAAACACGATATCTGAATATCATAGAACATACACTACCTGGACTTAACTTTAGATCTTTATTACGCATTATGATTTTTTAATTGCCACAAGAATTTTTTTTATCTTAAAACTTTGAAGGAATAAAAAGTCCTTATTTGAAACCGATTTACACTTACCAATCCAGACGTTCTGTGCTGGTGAACCAAAGCCATTTTTATATTCCGTCCAGGTCCTGTTAAAGGTCATCGATCCGTCTAAGCGTTTCTGAATTGCCTTTGAAAATTAACATGCGTAACAATTCACTATATTGCTTCGAACATTCGTAGGATCCATTTTTTATGATATAAACTACAATACAATCCTACAATCCTTAGAACAACAAAAACAATTTGTGTTATATTAAGTACTTTTAATTCTAAAATAAACAACCTACCGTCCACCCCCCGCCCATTGTCGTCATATCGCAATGCTCACTGACCGGTACTGTTAATGTTCCGTAGGGGTATATATCATACAACCCTGTGATGGTTTGTCCATTTTCTCGAAGATCCTTGCAATCTTTGGGCATACTAGAAAAATCTGAAAAAAAAAATATAATACCAGGATTATACAATGTATATGTACAAGAAGTGAGAGGATATATAATGCCTGCATGATATATAAACGTTAATTGTTGGGGCTAAATTGTTAACTACATACAATGCAGGTGATGTTAAACTGTTCCCGATTATCTTAAATCATATTTGTTTTCCAGTTGGTACAAATCTTCGATTTATGACATGACTAAAAGTATTTAAATTAAACACAATTATTTTCAATACTCTGTTGACTGAAAGAAATGTGAAAGAGAAATTAATTGTAGATAAGATGATAAAGAATTTTGACACTGATATAGTTGTTGAAATATGTAGTAAATCATGAAATCGTTTTGATGTATGATATAATGTCTGAACGATCGACAGGGGATGTTTACTCCTCCACGACACAGGCCAGCTGTTTTCAGGATTCACATCTCAGCTTTCAGAACAGCTGTTTTTAAGATTGCAATTTCAAGATACTAGCTAAAGTGAAATTTTGTCGTTTATTTAGTTATCAACAAGTTTTTTATTTTCTAATGGTTTGGACTAATCATAGTCATAAAGCTTAAATTAATATTACTAAATACTAACGGTGTAGAATGTTCATCTTATGTTTTATATTAATTGCTAAGAGATATCCAGAAAAGAGAAAATAGAAATAGAGAAAATCACAAAGTATAATTTAATCAGTCTCAAATTTAGAACAGATTCTACAAGCAAAAAATGGATGCTTGAATTGGAAAATATTTTTTGGCCTAATTTCAGTGCAAATAATAAATTTATTGAATATAAAGAAATTGAAAACCTTATGTGATGTTCAAAAGTCTGTCCTTCTGAATCTTTATTAATCTATATAAATATTTTTCACTTTAAATTCAATTTTTGTGCAAATTTGAATAAAAAAATTAAAAACTACGCGGTGAAAATTATTCATTGTATTCATTTAAACATGACCAATGTTGTTATTTTTAAATTCTTTGACAAAAGTTTGTCTGTATCATCTCTCCTTAAAAGTCAAAATTAAAAAAGTAATAAAGAAAATCAGCAAAGAGATGAGTATGTCACTAGAATCAATTATGTTGAAAATACAATTGTTTATTTTAGATAAAAAGAATTGTCAAAAAAAATGTGTCTGTTCGAGAGGGATTTAAAACGAATGAAAGAAGCAAGCAGAAAAAAAAAATATACATACCGTTATCCGAGTAGTATCTCCAACCGGCCTCATCAGAGAGCTCAGACTTAAATATTTTCTTATGGGTACGGCATTTCTTCATTTGATTGTTGAATCCAAAGAAGACGCACTCCCTTTTACACATCATGGCACACCTGGATATTGTATGAGAATTATGCTCTCCTAAAAGCCCATAATTTGATTTCTTATCATTAAATTCAAGTTTCGCGGTAAATTCTTTCAAAGTATCGGTAGCCTTTGATAAAGCTATGAAGCCAATGATTAAAGAGATAACCCACTGATTGCTCATTTTCTTTTTTTCCTTTTATAAGAAAATAACTGCGTTCTTGTGAATCTGTGAAATTCTGCTAAATCGTCTTTCAACAGCCAAATATATATATATCGTACCATAATCAATGTCTGAAAAGTGATTGGCTCACTGTTACGCATTCTATATTTCACTGTTGTTTAAGTATCGATTTTATTGAATTGTCATAAACATTTATTTTGAAATTGCAATTTAGAAAATAACAATGAAAAATATGCTGTTTTTAATTTAGTTAAGGACAGATGATACAAACAAATGTTTTCTTTGAAAAAGATTTTAAATCATGTCACAAGTTTAGAAATGTGGATGGTTCTTAGAATTTTTTCTCCTAAGAACTAGAATATGAAAAAGACTTAGAAAATATTAGTAATATTTCAATGAAAAAACGAATATAAAGAAATAACATTCAGTAAAGGTTTACAGGTGATAATAAATTTCAGAATATGTTATCCTGGCGTTAAAAGTGTAATATAAACCTTAGAAAAATATACCAAGCCAGGTGAATTTAAAGAGGAAGATCGAAATTAAAAAAAACTGGCAATATCACATTGGCTGATTTTAACCATTTAGCTTTTCCTAATAAAATTCACCTGGCTCGGTATATTTTTCTTAAGTTTATTTTACACTTTTAGCGCATGAAAACATATTCTATGATTTATTTTCACCTGTAAACCTTTACTGAATGTGATTTGTCTATATTTGTGTTTTCATTGAAATATTACTAATATTTACCAAGTCTTTTTCATATTCCAGTTCTTCGGAGAAAAAAAAATCTAAGAACCATCCACTTTTCTAAACTTGTGACATGATATTTAATCTTTTTCAAAGAAAAAATTTGTTTGTATCATCTGTCCTTAAAGCATGTCTTGTTATGATATACAGAGTTTTTTTTATCAACTTTCTTCAAAATTTGATATTTGACTGCCGTCATGAGAAAAGGGCCCTTATCGTTTGACGTCACAATTCTCAGAAAACGACGTCAAAGTCGCGGTTTTGTAAACACGGAAGTAATTTTTGTTGACCGCGTTTCGTGAACTTAAAATAAAATTGAATTTCAAAGTGTAACAAAAAATTGAAATTTCATGAGGACATTTTTTAATATGTTTTTGATATTATTACTAATTACTACGTCAATTTATTCATGATTTTGTTTAAGTAGTTAACTTGATGTTGGTATACGCGACATTGGACATGCACATTGCTGGGACAGCGATTAAAACGATGTCGATGACGGCAAAATTAAAGATGCTGCATATTTGTTTTCTGAGCAATTTACAAATGCTTTAATTTGAACTCATGTTAAGAGTCTTCATATCAAAAGGTCCATATACATATACATATAATTCTTTCTTCAGAGAGCTAGAGAGAGAGAGAAAGAGCAAGCGAGAGATCTACATGAATGCACATATATATATAGTAGTTACCGTTCTTATAAGCGCTGAAAAAATATATTCCATAATTTAAAATGTATTTAGCCATGTTAAATTTAATCCATACTGATGTTCCCCGATAGTCAGCCTTTGGTGAACTGTCGATTTTAAAATGTGTAAAAAAAGGGGGGGGGGGGAGGACAGAAAGTAGAAAAGGCAAAAAAAAAAAACTCCGAATAAAAAGACCGGTTAAATTCAAGCTAAGAAACATAATCCGTCTTTGATTGAATAAAGACACTGGTCACATGGGAGATCCAAAACTTCTACATCAACAATAAATATTTATTTTAATAAAATAACAGTAAGATAATTTGCTAAAGAAAATAAGGAAAAAATATATACGTAGGATGGGGATGCTATAAATTTTTCTAAAAAATAATATTGTTTCAAAAACTAAATTTAAATGATCAAATATATACATTCAAAGGAACCGTATGGTAAAAATTATTGTATCAAATTTCTTAAATCATTCCTAAGAAACGAAAATTTAAGCGGTATGTTATTACTTAATTAACAGCATCACCTCGTAAAAAAAAACATAAACGTGTGTTGAACATAATATTTCATTATTGGCTAAGACAATAGCATCAGAATGAGAAAAGCTTATAAGATGTAAAGTTAATTAGCCATTGTCTCGGAGGAAAACGAATAGATGACCTTTCATGGAATTAAAAAGTGTTTTGTTTTGCTTGACAAGAAAAATTTGGTGTTTTAAAGTAAAAAAAAATATAGCTGCCCCCCCCCCCCCCACACACACACTGAAATGGTTCCTGCGGGCCTGCCGTTCTAGCGTAAAAATATACAAGTATCCATCCAGTTTCAGTTTCAAATAAATTTTGTCAAGATTTGAATGGAAATGTATTACGCAGAGAAAAGTCAAGCACCGTTTAGTGTGAATATATAAAAAAGAGACCAGGAATATTTGGTGGTTGAAAGTAAAAAAAAAATATAGCTCCACCCCACCCCCCCCCCCCACACACACACACTGAAATGGTTCTTTTTACGCCGTTCTCGCGCAAAAATATACTAGTATTCATCCGGTTTCAGTTTCAAATAGATTTTGTCAAGATTTCAATGGAAATGTAATTCCGCACAGAAAAGTCAAGCACCGTTTATCTTAAATATATAAAAGGAGACTAGAACAGTACAATTCACCATCCCTTTGATTAAATTATACAATATGCATAAAACTCTTCTTTTTTTTAGATCATAGTAGCGGTCCTTGCAGGAAATATGCAAATGTTGTGTTCAAGTGTAACGGTATAGGTGCTTAAGAATTTAAAAAAAAGTTAACGTGATCAATATTTGTTACCGATTTAAATTGTGATTTACTTTTTAAAGAGTAAGATGTTAAAAGACGGTTTCAATTTGAGATATAAATTCAAAGAAAGTTTTAATTTAAGGTACGGCATATAAACCATTCATAAGACAATCCTTTATTTGCCTCTTTACTATGTTTCTACTCCATAACTAAGACAGGCGTAGAAAATGAATTGTATATACATTGAAAGCTTAGAGTTTTAAACATATTTAATAAATTATTCAAAAAAGTAAAAATTTTAAAATCCGCTTGCATGGATCTAGCGAATGTATATATTTTTTTTTTAATTCATGAATTTTTATGAATGGAATAAACGTTTTTAAATACAAGTTTACATATCTTGGCGTAATCTGAATTTATTTCTCAATTGAATTGTTCGGTGATACAGAAAATACATGGTGTTTTTATCCTATCGTAACAGATATAGGGAATAAAGTTACGTGCCTGTGTGTTAGTAAGTGAATGCTGACTCAAGCATTTTTTTTAAAATATCCGGATCGATGTGCTTTTTTGCGTTTTGCGGGGGGATGCCCCGTTCTGCGCGCGTTGTCCTTCAGCATGTGATTCTCTCTCTCTCTCTCTCTCTCTCTCTCTCTCTCTCTCTCTCTCTCTCTCTCTCTCTCTCTCTCCTAATCTTTAAGTGTTATATCTGCTCTATATCTTTTATAAATTGAATTAGATTAGATTATTTCATATAAAAAGAATAGTTTGTATGAATTAAAAAAAATATTATTTCCCTGCTGATTATGATATAAACCGTTTCTAGATTCTGTCTAGACCCACATCCCCCCTTTATGAAATTACTAGATCTTCTATAGAATTGTATGAAAATAGTAATACCATACGAAATCCCCTAGGAATAGTTACATACTAGTTGCTTGGAAGAAAAAAAGTTAAACAGTTTCTCAAGTTTTTAATTCTCAAAGCGATTGAGGTTCTTTAAATAACATGTAATTTTAAGAATTTTTGAAAATTGAATAAGACGCAGGTGACGTCACTGCGTTTTCAGTGAGTAACGTCAAAGTTGTTTTTGGAGCGCCTCACTAAAATGCTCATAAAATACTGAAAAAGTGAGATATTTTGAAAATTTTTGTATATTTGCATTCAGAAAGAGTCCGGCTATCAAAATTTACCAAAAAGTCAATTTGTGAAAATTTGACCTTAAGGGCCCTTTTCTCGTGACGGCAGTCATCTATATATATAATTTCCTTCATCACCTCAAACTAAATGAAATTATAAATCAGCAATTTCTGAAATAAAATTCTAAGTAAGAATTATCTGACTCTAGGACATTATTTAGAATTTATTGATTTATTTCAACTTTGATACATTAGCCTCTAAATGTCAATGTAACACAGTATATTTACACTACATATATTTTTTGCATATAAAATGAATGGAAATCTATTGCATTCAAAACACCATAACACAAACAGGGTACCAAGAGGTTAAAACATGCGTTTTAGTTTGACGTCATAATCGTTGAACGCTGAGAAAATGCAAAGTCACAAGCAAAAATCAAAAAATCACGTTCAGTTTGACCAGAAGCTGTTACGTTTCCTGATCCATTAAATGTAGCTTACACGAAGGATAATACATAGGTTTTTAAATAGAAATCACATTTGCATTTAAGGTAGAAAGTTTAAAAAATGGAAATATAAGCAATGAATACGTGCGTTATTTAATTTGTTTGCACACACCGTTGCAGTTTTGAAACTATATCACTCAAAAAATAATGATTCATTGCTTAAATATCATCATTGGTTTATTTATTTTTGAATCTTAGAGAGACGTACATTTGCAAAATACAGTTATAAGAGAATTCTATGAGAATGCTCTTAAGCCCGTTATAAACTTAAAAAAAAAAAGAAAAGTACTAACGATACAATTCTAATGACAAATTGTATATAAATGTGAGTTTACTTTGGCCTAAAATATGGATAATATTTTATATTACAGGGTCATTGTATCAAACACAATACTTATGAAATTCTCACTTAAAGTGAACTATTGATTCAATTGATGTACCACATTTTTCCACTAGTTAGCCTAGTTTTTGAAACTGCGAAAAACAGGTCTCTTAGGAATGAATCTCAAAGCCTTCACTAATCAAGTCGTGTTTAATATTCTTTCGCAGCTAGGTTAAGGACCACCAAAGGTAGATCAATCTATGCAGAATTTTGGGAAATCGATTATGACGTCTCGGTGAAACTGCACAATTGACTCTTGGCGAATGAATAA